ATGCAAAATACTCAAATTCACTCGTATAGTAGCAGGGATAGACGATCATTGAAAAAATAATAATAATAAATTCACTTATAAAATTTTTGATTTAGATAAATTATTCCAAATTTAACGTATAACATCATTTGACGTTAATAATTCGTTAATTTATTATGTCACTAATAATAGATTGTTGACATAAAATAACATCAAATTAATGGATTATTGACGTCAGATAACATCACACGTTAAATTTATAGTGATTTGTCCAAATCGAAAACTTTATGGGTGAATTTATCTCTACTTTTTGTTCAAGAGTGAATCCGTCCCTAACACTATATTTTGGGGGGTAAATTTAAGTATTCTGCCAATTCAACAAAGTAATGAATAGGAAAATGATTAACGGATACCTTTTTTTATATAATTTTTTATACAATTTTATAGTTCATTTAATAACCATCTCTTTTCACTGTATCAAGAGTTGTAATGTTATATATATATATATATTTATTTATTTATTTATTTAATAATATATAAAAAGTATATAAAAAATAATATAAAAATTTATCTCTATATAATTACTGAACAATTATTGAATCTCATGGAGTAAATATAAAAAGATTGAAATCAGCAAATCTGACGTTATCCCTATTTCTGAGCCGTTGATGATATCTGTGATCAGAAGATATTTAGGTATTAAAAAATATATATTTCTTACACCGATCAATTGCCCCAGAGACAGAGAGAGCACCAATGGCAAATTGGCAATGGTGTATGTATATACATGGTGATGTAGGGGCGACCTTGATTCTTGGGCCATATGACGGATTCAAATGGCAATAAAGTATATGAATTTTATTGCCTTATTAATTTTATTAATTAAGAAATGGACAAACAATGTTGGTATCCATTTGATATGGATGTTCGCTTGGTCAACAGAAGTGCCTGTAGCGTTGGGTAATTAAACAACTAAATTATGTCTATCATTAACTTCCAATTGATCCATTTTAGAATTGTGACATATTTTGTCTCTATTAAAAAAACTAAATAATTAAATTATAATTAG